TCAACGCTCTAGTCAGAAAACGGGTGGCTTTACAAAAAAATACAAGTAACATTTTTTGTAGATAATCGTATGAGGAATAATTTTTATACTGGCTTTTATTGACCTCCGAGCTATAGGTCGCGAGATATTCACGAAAAACTGATTTTTGTGACATTTTGACTCTTATAACTTTTTCAGCCGGCACGATATCAATGTCAATTTTTCACATCTTCATTAAAACGCCATAATGAAGGTGTATAGCAAAATTCCGCTCAGTATGTATTTTTCCGAAGATTGAGGTTTAAAATACCTAAAATGACTAGACTATCAATGTTTTGGTTGGTTTCCGTGTTTTGCAGCAGTCATCTTCAGTGACGTGATCGAAGTACTCTTCTTGACATGTCAACTGAAACTGAAGCTCCCATTTCTGCCGTATCATTAATAGTGCTGATTTTTTGCGCACTTTCTGTAATGGCGGGTTCGCGAGTACTTCACGCACAATTTGGTTGACTTGGCGTTTTTCAAAGCTGTGTGCCAGATCTTTGTTAGATATGTTCTCTCTTCCTTTCTGTTGAAGTTCTTTTGATGTTTGAGTATTTCTATGGCTTCTAAATGCATTCTTGTTGAATAATGATTCGAAGTTGCTAGCCTCTTGGTATATTCGAACAGAATCTTGTGTTCCCCGTCGAACACTGCATGTTCAGAGACTGCAGACTTCTCGGTTTGTCCCAATCGGCAACTCCGCTTGTTCTCGACTAGGCAGGTACCAATGCTTCTTTTTGTCTGACCGATATAGACTTTACCACAGTTACATGGAATCCTGTATAAACTCCCGCCGATTTGAGTGGATCTCTGCTGTCTTTTGCTGATCTCAAATACCCTGATATTTTTTTAGTTGGTTTGAAGATGGTGTTAATTTTCTCCTTCTAGAATTTTCCCCATTCGGTTGGTGACACCTTCTATGTATGGCAGATAGACAGTGCCTTGGGGTTAATCTTCAATGGTGTTTCTCTTCTTTTCCTTTGAACGTGTAGCGCGGATTATGTCTTTGCCCAAACCAGGTAGGATGGACTACACCCTACCAAAAGCATTCCGACAAATTAGTCTCACATCCTTTTTCTTAAAAACCATAGAGAGGCTATGTGAGCGGTACATAAGGGATGAAGTACTAGTTCACAAGCCACTTCATCCAAATCAGTATGCATATACTCCGGGAAGGTCTACTGATTCGGCCCTTCACCATGTGGTTGGCAGAATCGAGAGATCATTGAACAACAAAGAATCCACCCTGGGTATATTCATAGATATCGAGGGAGCGTTTGATAAAACAACCTCTCCAACAATCACCCAGCAACTACACTCCAGGAATGTACCCCTAGTAGTAGGAGAATAGATACTTGAGATGCTCTCTAGTAGAGCAATAAGTATAAATGTAGAAGATATCACAGTGAAAGGACTGGTCATGAGGAGATGTCCATAGGCAGGGGGCCTAATCACCCCTTCTCTGGAACATAGTTCTGGATACCCTGATTAATCACCTTAACAAAAATGGATTCTACACAATTGCATACGCAGATGACAGTTATCTTGCAGACCGGCAAATTTGTAAACACACTGTGCGATAGAGCGCAGGATGGGTTCAAATCAATAGAAATATGGTGTAAGGAACACTCACTGTCGATCAATCCCAAGAAGACTGAGGTGGTCCTTTTCACCAGGAAAAGAATTTTAACGGCTTGAAACCTTCCGAAATCTTCAAAAGCAAACTAAACTTCTCTGAAGAGGTAAAATACCTTGGTACTATCCTTGACAGAAAGCTAACATGGAACTCTCATCTACAGAGTAGAGCAAAAAGAGCATACGTGGATTATGAGCAATGTCGGAGGACAGTGGGACGCGCATGGGTTCTTTCACCTGGATCTACACTGTAATAATAAGACCTATGTTAACATATGGAGCCATTGCATGGGGACCGACAGTTCTACAAGCAACGGTCATCTAAAAATTATATCAAATACAGCGAATGGCTTGTTTTTAAACATCACAGGAGCCAGGAGAACAACACCAACCGCGGCAATGGGATTAATCACGGGTCTGACCCCTATGGATCTGTACGTTAAGGAGGTTGCGTTAATGGCCATGGTACGATTGCGCACGGCTGGTGTAAACCTCGAAGTAGAAATGGGTCAATAAAGGCTGAGCCTATGGCGAAAAGCGCTTACTGCGCAACCTCTGCTGCAGGCAACCAGAGATGCAATTGAACCCAGGTTTGTATTTAATAAACCCAACAAAATACAAATGAAACAGATAATAGAGCCAAATGCTACAAATGCAATACGCATATATACAGACGGCTCAAAAACCAAAGAAGGCTCAGGATGTGGAGTGTTATCACTAAGCCTAAGGATTAAGTGGGGAATGGGAGAAAATACCAGCGTAGACCAAACAGAACTGGCTGGTAACTCAATCGCCACAAAAGAAATAACCAGGAAATGAATTTCTGGCGAAAACATAACAATCTGCACTGACAGCGGACAAGTCCTATTAGCTTCGAACAGACAACGTATAACCTCAGGGCTGGTACTAGAGTGTCACCAAGATTTAGCCAAAGCCTTGGTAGATAATAACATTATCCTGAGGTGGGTTAAAGGGCACGACAGGAGTAAAGGTAATCGCATTGCCGACTCTTTAGCCAAGAAAGCGGCTGGACTAAGAATTTTAGGACCCAGTGGCACCTACGACCTGATGACTTCGACAATTGCGGAACTAGTCAAATGATACACCCATGCTCAATACTTGAAGAGATGGGATGGAATCAAAGGATGTAATCTTGCCAGGATCACCTTGGGCGACCCTGGGAAGCTGGCGCCGAAGAAATATCTGGCAATGACCAGGAAAAATTTACGCCTTACAGTAGGATTTCTGACTGGCCACTGTCAACTAAGGAAACACCTCCATAATATGGAGCTCTATGCAGGATGTGTGAACAGGAAGGTAAGACTGTCAGGCATGTCCTGTGCGAGTGCCCGAAGTTATCGTCAATAAGAGAGTGTGTGTTCGGCGAGTCTTGGCCTACACCTGCCGATATAAAGGAGATGTCTCCCAGTGACCTGTCCACCTTCCTGGAAAGGACAGGATGGACGATGACCTAGGAGGACAGCTCCTTTGGAGGATGTACAATTGGTCACATGTGGCCTAAGTGCTGTGGACTCACACTTACCCTCCCTGCTCTACAGATACAGAGATGTCTTTGCTGTCGTAGCCGTTCACTTGTAACACAGTTGTTAGGTTTCCATTTGATTGCCTTCCTTGATGACTAAAACATCAAGGAAAGGGATTTGAAGGTTTTTTATAATTCCATGGTGAACTGGATTTTCGGATGAAAGCTATTCACATGATTAAAGATGTTCTGAAGTTCTTCTTTTCCATGACTCCAAACAACGAACGTGCTTCGGTCGTTTTTCTGAGGTTTGAATGGCTCTTTCTTCAAAATGTGGAAATTCGCCACTACTGGGCTAAGTGGACTGCCCATTGCGACTCCATCAACTTGTTCATAAAAGGTTTTATTCCATTGAAAATAAGTTGTCGTTAGTGAATATCGAGATAAGTTGATACCTTATGGGAAGATATCCTCTTTGTAGTTTAGGGATTCTTCGAGTGGTACATTTGTGAATAAGGATGCAATATCGAAGCTGACTAGAATGTCGTTTGGCTCTAAGGTGATGCTTTTCAAATGGTTGATAAAGTCAGTGAAGTCTCGGACGTACGTCTTAGTCTTCCCAACAAGTTTCTTGCAGCATATCCGACAAATTTTTGTCGAGATTGTAGGTTGGTGATTCTGTGGCGCTTGATATCCTCTTTGTGAATTTTCAGTCATCCATAGAGCCTCGGTGGTAGTGCTTCTGATCTGCAAAGTTTCTTTTTTATCTCTGGTGGTAATGAAGATTCTTTTATTGGTCTTTCTTATGATCTTCTACATTGAGTCTTTTTGTAATCTTCTGTACGTTTCTTGACTCACAAGGTTATTGAGTTTGTTTTTGTAGTCCGAAGTGTTCAAGACCACTGTTGCCTTACCTTTGTCAGCATGCAAAATGATGATATTTTCGTCAGCATTGAGCCTTGTCATGCCGGTCTTTTCACCCCTTGAAATGTTGCATTTTGGAGGTTTGGATTTCCTCAGAATTCTTGAAGATTCGCTTCATAATTCTTCTTTAATATCTGCAGGTAGATTTTCAATTCCGGCTTCTATGTTCGCGATGATTTCTTCTGTGGGCATTGTCGATGGTGTTACGCTGAGATTTCCCCCTTTAGCTAGTAAACTTGTTTCATCACTGGTGAGTGGTCGATTGGATTTATTGATAACAACCAGCTCGGTGTCTAATTTTGGATATTTGGGTATTTTTTCTAAATCTTCTGTCTCTAATTCGATGACTGTAAGGTTGACTCCATTGTTTTGTAGGTTAATTTGTCTATATTGTCCTAGTCTTTCTCCTCCAGTAAGTTGCTAAGCTTCAGGTGATATTTCAAAAGTTCTTCATCATTTTTTGCTAGTTCCTTTCGTGTATGATTGATTGTCTCCAGTAACAAGGCTGTCTCCATCCTGTGATATATTCACTGAGTTTGTGGTGTATTAATAATCTTCTTCAAATGTACGAATGTTGGTGTGGTTCTTGTATCTCTGCAACGTAAAAGGAATATTTGAGAACTTTAAAGCTGAGTATTTTTCTTTCGTGTTGCTTCTAGTCTCCTGACAAACTAGTAGGATTCCTCCCCGTAGAGTCGACTCTACTTTCAAATGGAAATCTCACATTGAAGTGTGTTTTTTGATGATGTTATAATGGATTTCCATCAAGTATCGGTCAGTTTTATTATATTTTTGAAATATTTTTTTCTGATGTGTTGAAAAAAAAACGAGTTAATCGTTCAATGATTCCAAGAAAATTCTGTGTACCATACAATTGATGGTATTTTAGAAATAAAAACATAGCTGTTATCAAATTAACTTTTCTTTAATTTTTCAGTGTTGCTGAATGACATGTCACGCCTCTTCAAAAAGCACGGAAAAATATTATTCGTAGATTTCGTAGGAAAGGCGAATATTTTTACAGTAGATTACGATTTCATTGAATTCGTATTGGGAACGCATTACATTTTGGACAAGTCAAGAGATTACAGATTCATCAGAAATTGGTTGGGAACGGGATTGCTGACGAGTGATGGTGAGTGTTCTCAGGCCACTTCAGTTATTTTTTTTAGGACAAAACACAAGAATATAGGATGAAGAAAATAACTTTTGTCTGATTTCTACGAAGTTTTTTATTTGTTAACGACCGGTTTCGGTTAGTTAAACTTTGAGAATGGTTTAACAAGCCGAAACCGGTCGTAACAAATAGAAAACTTACTAGAAATCAGACAATAGTTATTTACCTTATCCTATATTCTATACGAATTTCTACATTATAAACAGGTCATCAATCGAAGAAGACAAAACACAAGCACCGGAGGAAAGTCCTCAAGGCGCTCTAAGAGCGGTGCCTGTGCGAAAGTAGCGACTCACGTTGGATTTGAATCGTTGGAGATTGAATTCATTTGGAGAAACGTTCTCAGGAAGTTTATTCCACATAAACAATTCTCCAAATGAAAACGTTCTCAAACAGTGAAGTTCAAGTTGTACTGAGTTAATCCTCAAAACGATGGGCAGCTACAGTCCGTCACGTATTCCTAATATGTACCACTCTTGGTGGAATCAAATGTAACAAGTCACTTGAACACCTCTCGTGAAAGTATCTATCTTCAACCTTTCTTCTATGTTCTAGAATATCAAGATTGCAAGTGATGTTCGTATCTCCAATCAGACGGATGGGTTCTTTCTGGATGGAATCCAACAGCTTCAGAGTATGCTTAGGGGCGGAGCTTCATACATGTGAACAATACTCCAAAGAAGGTCTGATTTGAGCTCTTTGAAGCATCAGAAATTGCTCGGGTACATTTTTCTGGTTCGGACCAGTATTCCAAGTTTTTGATAAGCAGCTTTTGCAATTCCAGCGACATGATTGTGCCAAGACATATTGGTGTCCATTTTGACCCCCAACAAATTTATTGAAACAGAAAGCAGAATTGTCTGTCCTGGAATTATTATATCCGGTTCAGAGACATTTATTTGTTTGGAGACAACCGATGGATACATTGAATTGAATCTGGTTACTTTCACCCCAATTCGAAATCATCTCTAGATCCTCATATTGATGATCGCTCAAGATGCTGAAGCCTTCCAAATATTTCAGAATATGGTGGTTGACAGCTTCCTCCATGATTTTTGATATCACTAATAGCAGAGTGACTGGTCTATAGTTATTTGGCAGATTCTTCTTGCTCTGACAGGTTGAAAATACTGCAAAATACTGGTGCGAGTTTATTGCCGCACTATCCAAATCAGAACTGTGCAAAAGACATCACTATTTAAGTTACACTTTATTGTGAGATTTTCACCGAACAGTGTACAAAACCGCAACAGGTGTTTCATTGTACAATAGCTTCCTCAGGAGTGTATGAATATCCCTGAGGAACCTTTTGGATAGCTATGTGATATTTTATTTATCAATAGTATGATGGAAAATGATTCATCATCTTTTCGTTCATTTGTCAACAACAACAACAAAATTTCTGATGATTGTAATAAGTGTACAAAACCGCAACAGGTGTTTCATTGTACAATAGCTTCCTCAGGAGTGTATGAATATCCCTGAGGAAGCTTTTGGATAGCTATGTGATATTTTATTCATCAATAGTATGATGGAAAATGATTCATCATCTTTTCGTTCATTTGTCAACAACAACAACAAAATTTCTGATGATTGTACTAAGAAAATGATAAGAATGAATATTCAAAATGATATCCAAGGATATTCCAAATAAGAGCAATATAATGAAATTCCTCAACTGGTGGCAACCTGAAAAATCATTAGAAAATACTCCATATTATCGTTATTTTTATCTGGTGGGAGCTTCATATCTTTATAATGAATGATAACTTTGGTAATGGTCTCTATTTACAATTTGGAATATTTATTTAAGGCTTTATTGATATTATTAATGTTCGTACTAACTGCCCCCTATCAATGAATTGCATCTTCCTTGTAAATACATGAATAATCATTCTTGAACAATCATTTTATGTTTGAAAGAAAATATGATGCGAATTGAAATTGTGATTCGTGAAATGAATTTTGATGAAAAGTATGCCGGATAAGAGGTTTTTCAGATATTTTAGCAAATTCCCTATTAATAATAACCATAATCATAATCATAGTAATCATAATTTCTATTTCAGGACCGAAATGGAAGGGACGTAGGCGTATAGCTACCCCAGCATTTCATTTCTCGATTTTGGAGCAATTCGTCGAGATCTTCGAGAAAAATGGAAATATTATGATCAACAAACTCAAGAAAGAAGTTGACAAAGATAGTATTGATATTTATCCCTTCATTACTCTATGTGCATTGGATATTATTTGTGGTAAGCAAATGCTGAAAATGATAAAGAAATAGCCACATAGCTATAACAAAATTTATTTATTGATTTGATTCTTGAAACGTATCAATAATCAATATGTATCTCAATATATAGGGTTTTTCATTAAGCGCTTCTTATGTTTAAATTCAAATAGAACAAAGTGAGATATCATCGACGTGGGTGCTTTGTTCACTCGAATCGACTCGAATCGACCACCGTGTTGGTCGGTGGTTCAAGCCCCAGGCTGAACGACCGATTTTCACATGCTATCGTCCAACCCGTGTTAGGAATCACACGTTGAAAGGTAAGACCTCGTTAGTCCTTAGCTCGCACAAGTTTCGACTTCTGAGGGTTGTCGTAGTGGTGTGACATCTGGTTACCGGAAAAACATACAGACTCACAGACAGACAGACATTACTAAGATGAAAATAGCTTCAACGACCAGTTTTTGCCGTTGAAATCCTGCTTGTGTGAGTATCATGAATTCATCTTATACACATGGTTCCTTTTAATAACTTAAAAACTGACTTCAATCAGCCATAGCTGATCCATAGCATAGCCATAGCAAATCCTTTCAAGATTTGAATCACAACAGGAGTCCATGTTCCTGAATATTTTCTTCTAGAAGGCTATTCGCGATTTGCTATACCACAGAACTGTGGTATCGTTTATGAAAATAGAGTAAGTTTTCCGGATATATCAACATTTACAGAAGATTGGTCCAAACCTTGCGGTATACCGGTAGTGACTTTACAATCTCTGTACCAATACAGTCACGATGATGACTGAACTCGAGTAGTTTTTGTTTGCAAATAATTAGGTGCATATTCTAATCTATTACGGTGCAGAAATTGACCATACTGGAATAGAAGTTGTGAAGTTTATTTTGTTAGTTATTACCGGCACAAAATCTAACCCATGTCAGTATGTCATCATTATTTAAAAATCGCTCAAATCTAAAGAGTTTATTTGTAACCATATCAGGTAGTTATTGCGTATCGCCACGTGGCGAATGACAGCTTCTGCCGCCAAGACTTATCATGAAATGTTGAAAATTGTGATGGTGACATTAATGTACTTCTAGCAAATGCGCAAGTTAACCCAACAGAAAGACGTTAACCAACGTTTATCAAAATGTAAATAGTTTACAAAATAATAATAAATCTCATCAACCTTTACGACTAATCAAGGATTCGATTACACCTTCAAATTGCGAAATTATGGGTGTCTTCATTTTGTTACGTTATCCGTAAAAGGTACCTATTTATTGTCGCTTGCCCACGTACTAATAGCTCATATTAAGATCATAAACAACCACCTGATAGCCGCTGCCACTAACGGAAAAATTAGAAACTTTGTTGGTCCTTGACCAAGGTATTTTAATCATTTTCAGTTGGAAATCGACAATGATACTTGAACTGTGAATTTAACTTAGGGATTCTCGTAAACGCTATAAGCGGTTGTAAATCACATGTTCACAGAAACGGATTCGTAATAGTGCTGATTTGGAAGGTTGAGAATTCCGTTTTCTTATCTCTTCGGAGGATATTTATATCCAGTTTTTTTCCAACTGTATATGAAAACGTCTTCGAATTATTAGGGTTCGATAATCGGAGGTGAGTTTTCAAGTATTATTCCTTGTGTCATCACAGGACAACAATATATCCCATAATACGAGGAATCTAACAATAATTTAATTTCAGGCGTTTTTTTTTTAATAACTTTTTGTACCACCCAGAAAAACCCGATATTATTATACGAACACTCATTTGGGGACAAGGAAATGAGGAAATGACACATGTGATTTCATTCTCTTCCTTGATGGAGCAGCGTAATAGTGCCGTATTACAGCTGGCCCTTTGGAACCGCATAGCGGCATTAAGGACTTTCCTTTTGAGTGAAAATTTAATATCTATTATTTTTTATATTAATACCTTCACATTTCACATTACCAATATCATGTCTTCCGGTGAAATTTCTCTTCAGAAATTTCTAACTAGAAAATAAGTTTTCCCCCTCGTTGTGCAGGAGATTGGAAGGGTAGTTTTCTTTTTCCCAAACACCCTGTCCAGTTTTCTCTGTCGTGCACGAGCCCCCTCCGTGGTTGGCTATTATTTATTAGTTACGGTTTTCCTTGCACATTGCCAAACCCTGTGTGAAAATATGTCAATATATCGATTTGCCAAATTTTGAGTTTTATTGGGGCATTACTGTATCGTGGATAATTTATAGATTTGGATCTGCTTGCTATTACATTATATAGGGTTAATAGTTAATCTGTTGGCGCCCTTGGAACATAAATCATTTGTATAACTCACCCCCCCCCTCTCGCTGTCTAAAAGCTAGCTGTGAGCAAATAACCCTATCCTGTTTATATCAAAAATACTCCACATATGAACTAATGATTAAATAAATAAGTAATAAGAAAAAAATATTACGTAATAATTTTAAATGCAGCGTCTATGTACTTAAATGACCGAAACAATGTAGGCATTTATTCATTATTTAATTTTAAATTCGTCTTACAAATTCTACGCCAGTATGAAGCATTTTTGCACTGTAATAGATTAGGTTTTGTATCTAATAATTGCAAACAAAAACGACTCGAGTTCAGTCACCAGTCACCATCATGACTGTATTGGTATAGAGATTGTAAAATCGCATACCGGTATACCCAATACTTTGACACCGGGCTGCAGGTGATCTACTCGAATACTTTTAGCATGATCCTGCTGCTGGATAAACGAGATACATCAGCGAGACTAACCTCTGTGAAGAATCTTGCATAAATAATGTCTGTCGGATATTATACAATGTCCAGCGTGGTACTAGCTGGGGAAGTAGGTGTTTTCCAGCAGGCATTTACCAGGTAGTTGGAAGAGATGGATATTTCGAGATTTTGTTTCGGAAAATCAACTTTCCAGTGAACATATGAAGTTGCAAGATGAATGGATTTCAGTCACATCTGATGTATCGTCGTTTTTTCTGAGTGTCCCTATACCAATAATTCTTGAATATTTGAGGATTCAATTCAACTCAGTGGAGAAGTGATCGAAGGCTAAATACAACTGACAAAAATCTGCAAGGAACAGAATTGTTTCCAGTTCAAGAAATGTTTCTACACACGGCACGGCAAAGGATTACTCACTCTCCTCCTTCAAAGCTGATATGTTCAAGAGCAGATTTGAATTGGAAGCAAAAGATGAGTTATATTACTTTCCACAGACTTGGATCCGATATGTACGTGATATATATTTGCAATTTTTCACACAGAATAGTCAAATGTAGTCATAACTACAGATCTCCCATTATTGAATTGACATATGAAATTGAAAACAACGAGAAGTTATAGTCGAAGTAAACGATATTGTGCACTCTTGAAGTTGGCGGTACTCTCAAAGGCCAAAAAAACCAATACATAGAAATGAACCGGCAGCGAACTAGTCCACGTGGACTGTAGACTTGGCGGTTCGTATTGGATAATTTTTACTAACCGAGTTTGATGATTGGCTGAAGAGTTATAAAATTGAATTTGAAGTCATGTTACGGTGACGAATAGAAATCGGGGAATGTGGGGATGGTTATCGCCGTCGTGTTCAGTTCAGGAACTGTTCGCGATTTGAGTGTTGAAATTTGATATGGGTGCAGTTATAATTACTCAAAATTTCTGTTATTTGTTTAAAATGTGGCATCTTTGGACAAGTACTAATAGAAATAGCGAGTGTGATAACAAAGCAGACTTTTTCCAGTGTAGCGATTCCAGTGTAGCGATGGTGAACAAATCAAAAAAGAGATACCAGTGAATAAGATTCGGATTAATTTGAATATTGTAACACAGAAAGTATGTTTCAATATATATAAGAATCTACATCTCAAGTTTGGTTTCGAGGAAAACAAACTATTACAAGCTACAACAGATTCGACCTAAATTCCTTTCTCAACGGTACTTAAAATTGCAAAAACAAACCTTATGAAAGCAAGACACGATGTGAAAACTTTAGATGTTCAACTGATGAAATCATTGTGAAAAAACAATATACAGTGTGACCAGTAAAGTACGCAATAAACATTTCGACTAATTTGAATGAGAATAATTATAAAGCTAAAATTGACGAACCATGCCTATCTGACCATGAGTCTCAAATGCTCTGCATATACTCTGACATCGAAAATCACAAAAAAGTGTCCAATACAAAAAGGGTCATAACACACGCTAACAAATAGAATTGTTGAAATACTATATCCCATGAACTGGACCGAATTCGTTGATCCGACTTGTCCAGATAAAATTTCCGATTATCTAACTCTTTACAATGCCCTAATCACACAAAATTGTCCTGTGAAAGAGGCCAATAACAACTGCAATCTTAAAGTAATTTTTTTTTGAAAACTTGAGAAAGATGAGAGACTTTCTCTCGATCTTGAAAACAATTTCGTACAGTTCAAATGAATTTTCATCAAAAATTTCTATAATAATTTTAAATTGAGAAACAATCAAGAGATGAAAAAGGGCAGAGCTGAAGCTTATAATCAGTTGAAATGCAAGTCTTACAATTCACCTGAATCATGCTGAAATTTGATGAACACGGAAAGCAATAGAGGTAAAAAAAGGTAACGAAAGATTTGTTACCTTTGTTTTGTTTATCAATATTTCAAGTGATATTATGAGTGACCTGATTGCGATCAGAATGCAATCAATTTACTTGACCCACTGAAATCAACGAAAGACTCTCTTTTTATCCATCCAATAACTGAAAGTGAAATTCTTGAGACCATTCTGAAACTGAAAAATTCAAATTGCCCTGATATGTACGAAATGACGAGCAAAATAATGAAAAGTTCTTGGTTTTTCCTTCCAGAACCTTTGACTATTCTCTTTCATTCATTCATCTCCATTGTATTGAGCACTTCTTCTTGATTTTCAAAGTCAGAGTATATGCTGAGCATTTGAGACTTATGATCAGATAGAAATGGTTCGTCAATTGAAGCTTTATAATTATTCTCATTCAAATTAGTGATAATGTTCATTGCGTACTTTGCTGGTCACACTGTATATGAATAACAAATAGTGTACCCAGAGCTAATGGTCCAGTGCAAAGTACAAATTTATTCAAATCGATTCAATAGGTTATCAAGTAGTTTTAAGTAGTAGGTTTTCATACTGATATTTTTTTTGTTGCTCACCTTGAATATACCACGAAAAAATATTTTAACCAGAATATTTGTACGTTTTCCCAGGAGCGGGCTATTTAATTTCTTTGAAAATGATACGGTTCTCGTAGTTTTGGCGTGAAGGATGACTCTCAGCTTCATGTTGTTTTTGTCAGTTATCGATTTGTGAGTGAAAATCTGGGAAAAGTCAAAACAATAACACAAACTCAGGCAAGAGTAATTTGCGAAAAGATCTTGCAATGAATTCAGATATTAATTACAACCGGGATCTTTCCTAACCAAACACCGCACACAAAATGGGACAGGAAAATACGAAAAATTTTCGTTTCTGGAAAAATGACATGCACGGGAGGTAAATTCTTGTACGACTTTTCAGAAATTAGTTTTTATATATCAGAAAAGGCATTTATTTTGTATTGCTGTATAAATTCTTGAATTAATGAGACGGTAAATGTGGGATCAACCCATACCTTAGAGTCATAGGTTATTTGTTTTGTATGGTTGATCTCACGGTTAGCGTCCCACAAATCCATTAATATGTAGGGTATAACCAGATAAATGTGCGTTTTCAATGTATAAAACTAAGTTCATGGAAGCCTTACAGAAACTCATCAGCTTTGCAGAAATAATTACTTTTTCAAAAATAAATTTTGTTCTGTTTTTTGTCCCATTCCTTGTACGGAGTTTGATTGGGAAAGATCTCGAGCGAAATTGCTATCTGAAATTATAAAAGCCGTAATTTCGGCAAATTTCCCTCTCTCAGTTGGGTTGTTGTTTTTACTTTTCCGTACATTACCGAGAGGTATCAAATTCACCAGTGAACGTGTCGATTTTTCAACCACGTTTTGATAGTTTTTCGCGAATAACTCAAAAATTCAATATTTGAAATGTTTTCGAACACTTCTAAATAAGTTGTATTTGTTCCTCCAGGAGAATCATTTTTTTGGTTAATGAACGTTCAACAAGCTATTGACACCAAGGGCGGATTTATGTGGGGTTATATATATATAAAATAATTCCATGAAAATCAAAAGATAAATAAATAAGTACCATTCTGATCATTCCCATATTGATTTCAATTTAAGAGCCACCGGTAGACAGCTGTTTCAGCCTATAGGGCATCGTCAGTACCGGGCAGGCGGTCCTCGATTGAAGACAAAATGTGAAAAACCAAGAAAAGTACGGCACGGCACGCTACTGAGCAAGGCACGGTACTGTCCTGGCTCAGGTCGTACTTATCGGAGCGTGGCCAAATTGTATCATTTAATGGTATTAAGTCTGGAAAGCAAGTTACTGAGAGTGGAGTTCCTCAAGGATCAGCGTATACGGAAACCTTCACGTGATCGAACCTCGGAAGATCGCTCACGTAAAGGCTGTACAGTAGTGGAGACAGCACAGCTCCCTGGGGCACTCCAGCTTCGATTTCCCTGACGGAAGACAGGATTCCTCCAACTCGGACCTGAAATGTTCTGCCTTTCAGAATGACCTAATCCACCGGACCAGACCCCGAGGCAGATCAAATCGAGAATTTTGTGTAGCAGATCTTCGTGCCAGACTTGGTCGA